AGACCAAGAGTGGCCGTGGCCTTAGTTCAAAGAGTTTCGACGTCATCTGGTTTTATCGACCAGAAGACACGCCGTGCTGTGCCATGAAATACAAGTGGCGCAACGAACTCTTCCTTTCCAACCATTGCACGTGCCAGGAAGGCCATCACGCCCGAGTCAAGGGCAACGAAGTGCTTGCGGTCCACCCGGTGGACTGGTTCGGCACTCCGGAAAATAGCAAGGGAGATTTTTTCGTGAGGCAATTATATGAGAGCGAGCAACGGCGTTGGATTACATTGCAGAAAGATCATTTGACTTGCTACCATAATCAGCCTCCGAAACCGCCCACAACTCCCTATAAGCCTGGAGATACGGTTCTCGCGACGCTTTCTCCGTCTGACAGGTTTTCCGATCCCTATGAAGTCGTTGAATACTTTACGCAAGGGGAGAAAGAGACGGCATTCGTACGGCTCAGAAAGCTGTTGCGACGACGAAAGGTCGATCGTCAAGATGCGCCAGCCAACGAGTTGGTCTATACCGAAGATTTGGTGGATGTTCGAGCCGAGAGAATCGTAGGCAAGTGCGTTGTAAGATGCTTTCGCCCGGGCGAGCGAATCCCAAGTCCATACGACAGAGGAGGGACGGGGAACATCTTCTTCATCACCCATAGGCAAGATCACGGGAAATGCGTTCCTCTTGACACATTCCCACCCACTTTGCGTCAAGGATTCAACCCCTTGGGGAATCTTGACAAGCCAAAGTTGAGGGGAATGGATCTATACTGCGGCGGTGGTAACTTTGGACGAGGCCTGGAAGAGGGCGGCGTTGTTGAGATGCGCTGGGCCAACGATATCTGGGACAAGGCCATCCATACCTACATGGCCAATACCCCGGATCCGAACAAGACTCACCCTTTTCTTGGCTCTGTGGACGACCTCCTCCGCCTTGCCCTGGAGGTATGTCCCCTCTCGTTCCGAAAGAACTTGACTAGTATAAGCCATCCTGACTAACACTTATTAGGGTAAATTCTCCGACAATGTGCCCAGGCCCGGTGAAGTCGACTTCATTGCCGCCGGTAGCCCGTGCCCCGGGTTCTCACTGCTTACCCAGGACAAAAAGGTTCTCAACCAAGTCAAGAACCAATCCCTGGTGGCCTCGTTCGCCTCCTTTGTCGATTTTTACCGACCCAAGTACGGCGTCCTCGAAAATGTCTCGGGAATTGTGCAGACGTTTGTAAACCGGAAGCAAGATGTCCTTTCACAGCTGTTTTGCGCACTTGTTGGCATGGGCTATCAGGCCCAGCTGATCCTCGGAGACGCTTGGGCTCACGGTGCCCCCCAAAGCCGTGAGCGCGTGTTCTTGTACTTTGCGGCTCCCGGTCTCCCTCTTCCGGACCCGCCGCTACCATCTCACTCCCATTACAGAGTCAAGAACCGCAATATCGGTTTTCTCTGCAATGGGGAATCATATGTTCAAAGAAGCTTCATCCCCACCGCTTTCAAGTTCGTCAGCGCCGGCGAAGGCACCGCCGACCTACCCAAAATCGGGGACGGCAAGCCGGACGCCTGTGTCCCGTTCCCGGATCATCGGTTGGCGTCGGGAATCACGCCCTACATTCGTGCCCAGTATGCCTGCATTCCCACCCACCCATATGGCATGAACTTCATCAAGGCCTGGAACAACGGGAACGGAGTAATGAGCAAGAGCGACAGGGATTTGTTCCCTAGTGAAGGCAAGACCCGTACAAGCGACGCATCCGTGGGCTGGAAAAGGCTCAATCCCAAGACCTTGTTCCCTACCGTCACAACTACTTCTAATCCCAGTGATGCGCGCATGGGACCTGGGTTGCACTGGGATGAAGACCGGCCGTATACGGTGCAGGAAATGCGTCGGGCGCAAGGGTATCTCGATGAGGAGGTGTTGGTGGGACGGACGACAGACCAGTGGAAGCTGGTTGGCAATTCGGTGTCTAGGCATATGGCGTTGGCTATTGGATTGAAGTTCCGGGAGGCATGGCTGGGGACGTTGTATGACGAGAGCGCTGCCGTCGCTACGGCTACTGCTACTGCTACTACTACTACTACTGCTGCTGCTGCTGTTGGTGTTACGGTACCGGTTATGGAAGAGCCGAGTGTCGGCACGACGGAATCTACGAGGCCGTCGAGATCGCCTGTTCATACTGCGGTTGACCTCGACGACTCGAAGAGCGAAAGATCGAGGAGTACCACGCCCGCAACGGTACTTTCGACCTCTTCGGCCGCCGGCGATGGGTCAGCGAATGCAGCAGGGTTGGAGGATGACGATAACGACGACGTGGAGATGATGGAGGTGATGAGAAAAAGAAGTTCACCTGCTGTTGATGAGGAGGGAATGCGACCTAGTAAGGTGCAGAAGGTGGAAGTCACGGTGGCTTCACCAGCATCCAGGAGGTCATCCAGACAAGCATCCAGGAACCCAACCGCCTCCCCATTATCCAAGGCCAGTAAGGCCACAACCTACGAAGCTCCGGCGCCAGAGGAGCCCGAATCAGACGCCGAGTCCTACTCTGAGACGTACGATAAGGAGGGGTTCGATGGTGACTACCACAGTGGCCATGAGGATCAGTATTCGGAGGAGGACGAAGAGGAAGAATACGCGGAACCGGAAACGATGACGGTCAACGGCATGACGATTGTCAAGTTGTAGTGCGACGAGGTAGTGTCATGTCCGGGACCGTGGGAGTCGTGGGTGGCTTGACGGTTCTGCTGTTGCTGTTGCGAGTGTTTTTTGTTTGGGAGGCGTGGATGAGTGCGGACAGAGGAGCAGGGAATCAGCATATCGTGGATGAGTAGAGGTATGGGATAAGAGTGTGAGGGAGAGCATGTGCACGGTTTGAAGAGAAACAATATAAACAGTTCAATTGGATGTGCATAATTTTACAGCATTATTCCAGTAGATGTTTGGCATGGGCGCTGCTGGATGGCAAGCATTCATTCAGATGGGGGTCTTGGGCGAAACCGTACAAAAACTCAATCTATTGCTGGCGCCGGTTCGCACATCGGGAATGGTTCACGTCTTGGTTGGATAACCTTCAGCATCATTACGACTTGGAAGGGGGAAAACAGCAAAGGAAAGAAGGCGAAGGATGCATCACGGATTTATCATCTCATCCAGATGGTTGCCGGTCTTGTATATAACCATAGATAAGCCTTTTGCGCCAACATCAAGTCTACAAAATATGCGCCGAGAGGAGGTTGAAAAATCCTGTGCTGTGGAAAATCCTCAAATCTTCCTCAACAAGCGCCGCCACACAGGCCTGCAAGAGCGGGTGTCCGTCCGGTGAGCGGCAAGCACTGCAAGCTCATGGCAAAAGCAAAGCAAGCAAGCAAAAGTGCTGATGTTACATCCGCATCCGCATCCGCCCAACCCCAATGCAGGGGTTTTGTCCTCGATTCCAAAAAGAGCCTCAGGAACACCCCCGTCAGCCGAGAATGATTGGCCCTGAATCGCGGGCGGCTGGAACCCGTTTTGGCGGTTCCAAGCTGGTTCAACCAATGAGCTTCGTGAAATGCGAGAGAAAGCTTATTTTGGGAAACAAAGGGGGAGGAGAGAGACAAGGGGACTTCGTTGGTTGATGATTTTCTTCTTTTTCATACCCATTGAGTGACGGTGAACGACCACCAGTCACTTGCTGATCCCCCTAGTCGAAGACAAAGAACGCTTGGCCATGAAGCGCCCAACATGGACACTAAGAGCTGACTCGATACGAATCATATGCGCGGAGAACCTGTCTGACGAGGAACGAGGGCGACGTCTTTGTTAGCAGGGCATCCAGTGAGGAGGGGGCATACTATCTCCCCACGGCCAAGCTGTGTGCCTGGATCGATATGCCGAGCAAGTGGATATTCACCTAGTGTACAGTATTGACTCCAAAGACGACCAACGACGACTCACAGTGACTGGGCCAGTCGAACGAAAAAGTCTAGGCGTTTTTTCTTCCATGCGGTACTACGCTTTCCCCCCTCCCCATGTCCATATCCATGGCATATACCGGATAATTAATCACGATGCTTGGCTGGTCGAGAAAGTTGGCCGCCGGCTATCCAGTGATTTCAAGATGCTGCGCAGCGTCTCTTACCATGCCTACATCCATGCCCAATTCTCTGGGCAACCCGATCCAAAGGACAATCAAGACTGGGGGCCTGGAGAGATTCTCATAGGGCGGCGGCTTTCTCGAAAGAGGAATGGTGCGTGGGTTTCGTAACGCGACATTACCTGTCATCGCATCTTGCATCGAGGACCATGTGGTTTTTTTCTGGAGCTAGCTAGCTAGCTAGCTAGCCCAACGAAGAAGAGGCACCTTTGGGGCGGCTTGGAGTTGGGCTAGGGACTGGCTCATGATATCTTCTCTGTTTTGAAATTTCTCTCTCTTCTTCTTCTCCCTCTTCTCTCCCCATATTTTCTTTGGTCTGTGTGTTTCCATCATTCTCTGGTTCTGACTTTTGGTTTCTGGAACTTGATCATCTTTTTTTTTCTCTATCAGTTATCTCCTTTCCTTCACTCGTCATTACTCATCATCGGCGTCTGTTTTCACTATACAAGCGTTTACTTCTGTTGTCCCCATACATTCGACTTCCATATTGTTTGGGAATTTAACCGCCCAACACACACATCACAAATCATATTGGATCCCGTTGGCAAAGGGGAGTAGTAACACAAAGAAAGCGATTGATCTCCTTTCCTCAAGTTTACCACCGCTTCCTCGAGATCATCCGTCCTTCGCCCGCCTTACGCCTTCAGGAACAACCGAAGGGGGATCTTAGTTCTATCCGACTGGTCGGTGTCGATCAATTCGATTCTCTCACTTTTACACCATAATTTGATTCAACGGAGGATAAACAAGCAAATTTGGGGTTCAATTCAATTTTTCTCCTTTCTCAAAAACCTTCCACGGGTACTCCGGGTCTCAGACCATCGGTTACACCCATACACGCATATATACTCACTCGAGCGTCACAACAACACCAACAACCACCAACGAAATGCGACCTGCCACAACAATACTGGGTCTTGTCGGCCTTTTGACAACTGCTGCTGAGGCTGGTCCTCTCAGGAGTCGTGAGGCACGGAGGCAGGCGGCGTGGCAGAAAAGGCATGATGAGGATGGGACGACGACAACAACATTAGCAGAGGGCGACGGTGGATCGACGACGATTGTGGTATCTTACACAATACCAGGATTTATTGGAGTTACAACGGACTTTCCGAGTGACTTTGGAAAGTCTTCAACATCAACGACGGGGGCGGCGGTGGCTAGCAGTAGTGGTGTCGCAGGCGCGCCTGGGGGAGTGTTTGTGACGGTATCAGGTTCCGCTAGCTCATCGTCAGCGGCAGCAACATCATCATCCGCCGCGGCTTCGAACACTCAACAACCAAACGAACCCGCCGTCACCAGCAGCAACATCCTGAACGACCTCCCCACGGCCGTGACCGGCGCCCTCCCCTCCGCCACCACCACCGTCTCCCCCGAGATCTACGCCAAGAACCTCGCCGACGCCCGCCGCTACAACGAGCAGTTCTCCAGTCTCACCAAGGACACCACCTGCACACCCGGCCAGGCCGCTTGTGTGCAGGGTGGTCGTGCCTACTGCAACGCCCAGGGCAAGTTCAACGTGGCTCAGTGCGGCAGTGGCAAGAAGTGCTTCGTCATGCCCATGACCACCGTCCAAGGTGTGGTGATTGATTGCTACGAGCCGGATGTGGCGGCAAAGGTTTTGGGGTCTAGTGCTGCTCCCATCGGAGGAAGTAGTAGTAGTGGAGCAGGAGGAGGAGGAGAGGTAGAAGTCACACAGACAGTGGTGGTTACGCAATCTGCCGGTACGACGACCATGACGGTGCCTCCTCCTTATGGATCTGAGAGCAGTTCTGCTACGCAGAGCGTCGGTCCGGTGACGGTGACTGTTACCGTTGTTGAGCCTCCTCCTCCTGGAGGAGTACCTTTATCGTCGAGCGCTATCACTACTTCTGCTGCAGCTTCATCGGCCATTGCCCCCGTGCCGCCTACGACGAGCTCTGCAATTACGTCTTCATCGAGTGTTATTGCGGTCCAGCCTCCCGTTTCTTCGTCCGCTTCGGTCACTTCGTCCTCCTTGACGAGCTTGCCTCTTACGACTACCACTGACAGCAGCAAGACACTCATCACGGTGACTGCTACTGTTACGGATGGCGGCAACACCTACCCGATCACTTTCACCATAGATCCTAGCTCGGCGCATCCGGCTGTGTCATCTGTAGCTACGACTTCATCTTCCTCTTCCTCTTTTTCTTCCGTCAGCAGCTCCGAGCCTACCTTGAGCTTCAGCTCCGTCATTAGTATGCCTTTAGTCTCCTCGAGCAGCATCCTTTCGTCGACCGCCAGCGTCTCTTCGACCATTAGTAGTAGTAAGCCCCCCTCCTACCATTACCACTCCCCTTTCTCCGCTATACCACCTTCTACTCTCATTCCACGACATTTCCTAACCAAAGTATTTATACATTCAAAGGCTCTTCACTCTCAGCCCCATCTTCAGCTCCTGCTCCCGTGACCACCACCAGCGACATTACCAGCAGCAGCATCACCACCACCACCACCACCACCACCACCATCGCACCCATCATTACCAGCAGCGCCGAAAGCAGCGCCGCGTCTTCCAGCAGCACCACCGACGACGACCCGCTCGTAATCATCCCCGTCACCGGCACCGTGACCGATTTGCTCTCTTACGATGCCTTTGAAGCTCCCACTCAATCCATCCAAGTTCCCTCTGTTCCCTCTGCTCCTTCCGCCCCTTCCGCCCCTTCTGCTCCCACGGGCATTGTTGCCGGCAACGGCCTCATCAAAGCAGCCGCCAAAGTCACCGCCGCTCCCACTTCTACTATTTCTCTCGACCCCCAACAACAAGCATCAGAAGCACAATACTGGGCAACAGTCGACCGCCTGTTCAAACCCCCTCAGTACCAGTACTCCCCCGGCCACAAGAACGAGTTGAATGTATATGGGAATGGGAATGGGAATGTCAAGTTGGCCGCTGTTTCTGCCAGTACTTCTGTGTCTGTTTCTGTTTCTGCCGAGCAAAGTAGTGCTGCTGTTTCTGCCAGTCAAAGTGCAGTCACAGTCTCTGTTGTGTCGGTGACAGTGACTGAAACAGCGACAGCTACGCAGACGCAAGAAGCAAAGGTGGTGGTCCAGACGGTTACCGAAACTGCAACCGCAACAATAACAACAAAGGAAACGGTTACTGAAACAAAAAAGGAGGTTTCGACGGTTAGGGTGACGGATACATTGATTCATAATGAGACGGCGACTGTTACGGAGACGCAGACGGTCACGGCAACGAAGACGGTGGATGGGCCGGCGGTTGATACTGCTGCTGCTGCTGTTGCTGCGTAAGCCAACCAATGCACAATGCAAGGGTAAGGGGGAGAGGAGCTTTACTGGGGAATGGACTGGAATATGATATAAGAGGGGGGGCTGGCCCACGGATGATGGATGATGGATTTTGAAAAACCAGTTTGTGTGTTGTTGGAAAAAGAAGAAGAAGAAGAAGAAGAAGAAGAAGAAGGAAATTTCTTTTGTAAATACCTATCTATACATACGCCTGGGGTTTTAAGTTGTTTGGAATTTGGAAGCGGATGGGGGGAAACAAAAAGGGTTTGATACCATTGGGGAGGAAATAGTCTTTTATTTTTATTCTAGCATTTGCAATTTTAGTCTTTTTTTTTTTTTTTTCGTTTTGAGGTTATCTCGTTACTTTTGTTTTCTTTCATTTTGTGTTGCACTTATCAGCCAGTTCAATAGCTGATACCGATTATCGGGTTCATGTATCTCAGTTCACTCGGTAGAAGTATCTCCAGGCAATCTTGCTGCTGGATGTAGTGATGTAGTGATACCCATTTATTCATCGCTTTTCTCTTGATTTCTCTCTTTTCTCCTTCTCTTAATATCTCTCTTTATCCCCCCTTTTTTCCCACCTTGCACTTTCTTTTTCCGGCTCCTAGTCTACTCTTTCATCACTGACCCTTGCCCTCCCCCTCTCTCTCTCTGCGCGTCACTCCCTCCACCAAAGTTCAATACACAATTCCATGCATGTACATGTATCAACCAAATACGAGAAAGAAAAACTAAATGGTATCTTTGACTTTCTATAGAGACTCGGAAGAAAAAAAAAAGTGATGACGATAATGTAAAGAGGTGATAAGTACCTATATGTAGGTAGGTAGGTAAAAAAAAAAAAAAAAAAAAAAAAAAGGTACAAAAGTAGTGAGGCGGGCCTTGCTCAAAATAACAATAATAGGTAACGTAGAAGTGAAGTGTACAAGTGTGAGGGATAAAAAGAAGAATAACAAGACGACGAACTGAACATGACTACCCGGCAGCTGCTTTCTCCCTCCTTCCCTCCCATTCTCCTCATCTCTTTTTTCCCTTTCCGCCTCCTTCGTCCAACGAGTCAGCCCCAGACTAAGTAGCTATGTGGTAGGTTAGTTAGGTATCTCTATGTATGGTATGGTATGATATGGTATGGTACATCTGTATGTATATGTAAGTTTGTTTAAGCAAGAAAATAAAAATAAGAGAAAAAAAAGATAAGAGAAAAAAAAGACTAAGTGCAAGTAGATGTAGTTGGTATAAACAGACACCGCCCTCGCCTCCTTCCATTTTGACAACCAACCGATCAACATCTCCCAGCCATCTCAACCAATGCATCCGCCTGTCGTTTCATCTCAATTCAGTCTTCAATCCCCCCCAATCGATCGTTTGTTCTCCTGGCCCCGGTGTCGGGTCTGTTTGTTGCCTATCCCTTCTTTATACTCACACACATACACGACACCACTTTACTTATTAGTTATATGCAAGGCCCGCCTCACTAACCGTCATCTGCTAACCTTACCACTACTTCCTTCCCCATTGTTATTACTTCCACCACCACCGCTGCTACTAGTCCCATTACTCCATCCCCTTCTGTGCCCGCGTTTCTGTTGTTGGTGTTGTTCCGGGACGGCCCGAACAGTTGATGACGTGAGCGGAGGCCCGTCGGCGCTCAGCCTGTGGGGTGCCGTAGTTATCGCGACCCCGACATCGTACCCAAGCCCTTTGAACTCTTCACCGACATCAACATGATCTTCTTCTTCTTCTTCTTCCACCCCGTGAGTGCTCGGCCTCGTTGGAGTCTGAATCGGGTTCGGGTTCGAGTTCGAGTTCGAGTGCCGCCTCGCGTCACCAGCGGCATTCAATCCCTCTTCTTCCTCCTCGTCAAGATCCTGCGACCTAGGTCTCGACCTTCTCGATCTCTGATCAGTAATCGTACCTTCGTCCGCACTCTCCTGGGCGTCATCGTCTTCTTCCTCTTCCTCCCCATCCTCAATGATCCTCTCCTCCACAATTTCGCCTGGCCCGGTAATAATGGGACTAAAGCTATCCACCTCTTCCACCTCCTCTTCCTCTTCCATGCCCGCCATCCCTAGTCCTCCCCAGCCTGCGCCCGTCCTGCTTCCGCCCCAATGGCTATTGTGATAGCCACCACCACCGCTACTATATCCACCGCCACCATGTGCATTCTGTTCTTCTTCCTCTTCCTCCCCAGGCTCCTCCTCCTCCTGGATCGTAATCTCCCCACTCCTCCGTCCCATACCACTAGCGCTCGCACTCCTTGAATGACTCGCCGAAGCTGACCCGGACGCACCGCTGCTACTCCTTTCCTCTCTCTGCCTACTGCTAGCACCAGCGGCACTGCCGCCAAAGTTGAGCACCGGGCCCTTGAAGATATTCTTCTTTCTCTTGGCGAACATGACGCCGCCATGGCCACCGGGTCCAACCACAGGTGATCCGTTGCCCGGTGCCCTCGGAGCAAAATAGCCTCCCGAGTTGACCGAGGCAAAGGGGTTGGGCGAGCCAGGGGCGGGCGGCATGTGGTAGTACTGCGTGTTGGTGTTGAGGGCGGAGAGACCGCCTCTGCCACCGCCGCCATTGCCGAGGAAGGCGGCGTTGAGGCGGCCGTCATCGGAAGAGCCGTAGTCATTGGGCGAGTTAGCAAAGAGACTGGGGCCTCCGATGCTGCCGATGCCTAGGGGCGGGCCGGTGCGGTCGCGGACGTAGCGGATGTTGCTTGGGAAGCCGACGGTTGTTGGCGTGGCGGGGAGGACCTTGACGGAGTGGTGCGGACTGCGGCTGGCTTGTAAGGCGGATTTCGAGACCGATGTAGAAACGGAATTGTTGGAGGAGGTAGAACTGGCTTTGCTGTGGGTATGGTGGTGGGTGGGGTGCATTGAACGGATGGAGGAGACCGACGAAGAGGTGGACTTCCTGCCACGAAGGCCCGCGGTACCAGAGGCTCGCCGCATGGTGGAGCGCGGTGTTACGGGTGATGGCGATAGGGACTGTCGCTTGTGGGAGCCTGACGTGTATGTGCGTGGAACTGGTGGCAAAGAGGACGGTAGCGAACTCGAAAGGCCGACACAGCCGTTACTGTTCTTAAACGGTGCAGAGCCTGCGGAGAGGGCCGGTGACGCTTTGTTGGCGTAGCCGTTGGCTACTACACCCTTAGGTAGGCCAGCCGTACCCGATGTGATCGGAGAGCTCGCCGCTGGATACTTACTCGTCTGCGGCCGTTGAATCTCCCCATCCTTGGATTTGCCATCCTTCGCACTCTGCACGGCGGCCTTATCCGCCAGGTTGGGAGTCGATTGGCTGGCGCGCTTCTGCGAGTTCTTATGCCGCCGTGTACTCTCAAAAAGCCAATGCGTCCAGTTCTTCCAGAATATCTTGGTCTTAGACGGCCTCTTCTTCACCTGGTTCTGGTCATCAGGCAGCTGTAGACTCCCGTTCAAGTCCAGAACTTCACTCGTAGTAACCAAATGAAGAGTTGAGCCTCTCGATCGCGCACTCCTCAGAATACCCTCCTTGGGCGGAGGAATTGGCTTCCTATGCCGCGAGGAGCTGGTAGATCTACCCCTAATCGAGTCCTTATCCAGCGGCGGAGGTGGCATATCGCCTTCTATCGGACTGCGGGTATCGGTTGCGCTTCTGGGATAGTCGGATAAGCTGGGCATATCGGGGATGAGCAAAGCCGGGTAGTGCCCGCTTCTCCTACTCTCGCTTCGCCCTCGTGGTCTCTGTGGCTGCTCTCCGAACGGGGCATACTGTGACTCTTCTACAGTAGCCAAAGCATTGAGTCGACTGGAAGCCTGAGAGAAGCGTCTCGAGTTTCGGTTCTCCTCCTTTTCCCTGCGCTTTCGTTCCCGTCTCGCCGCTTTCCGTTCCTCCTTCTCGATCAGTAGCGTCCACCAGCCAGCAAGGGCGTCGCACTTCTGGGCCATGACGCTCTCCATCACCGCCTCCGTATCAACCCCAGCGCTTCGCATTCGATGTAACGTCTCTTTCTCCAACGGCGTCGAGAACGGCGGTGGATGCTCGAGTTTCAGAATCTCTTGCTGTTGTGGCGCATATTCGGCGAGAAAGGGGTGGGCGAGGATATCGGGCAGGGACGGTCGTATTAGCGGTCGTTTGGATAGTAGTGTCTTTAGAAGAGATAGCGCATCTTCCGGAAGGGTATCGGGGTAAACTGGTTCTTCGCCAAGAATCTTTCGCCGGGTAACTTGCTCGTCATCATCGTCAAAGGGAAGCTCGCCGCAGAGAAGGGCAAAGAGAATAACCCCCAAACTCCAAACATCCACCTTTTCGCCCGCATACTTTTCGCCCTTTAGCATTTCCGGAGCCGAGTAACAGATGGTACCGCAAAACGTCTGCAGATACTTGGCACTGCCCTCATATTCGCGTGTGAAACCAAAGTCGCATAGCTTGACGTTCTCGTGTTTGTCGAGGAGGATGTTTTCCAGTTTCAGATCTCGATGGACACAGGATTGTCGATGGACGTAGCACACGGCGCCCACCAGTTGCGCAAAGATCCTCTGCACCTTGTCGACCGGTAGCTTGCCATGTTGAAGGAGGTAATTGTACAACTCGTCGCCTGTGAAACACATCAATGTAATTTTAGAGAGGGCGCATACGAGATGGAAAGGCGGTCATGGTATTTGTTTTCGTACCTGGACAATATTCTAGCACCATCCATACCAAGTTCTCCGTTACGACCACCTCGTATAGTCGGGCGATGTGCGGGTGGACGAACTGGCGATGATGATGGATTTCGCGAGCGAGGTTGGTATCATCCTTGTTGGCTGACTTGAGCACGACCTATATATGCGACCGAAGAGAAAGGTTGAAGGACGAATTAGCCCGAGTGTCTCGGAAGGGACAGAAAGAGGCCGCCAGCGCAACACACCTTGGAGCCATTTGTAAGTTTGTGGGTGGCCAAGTAGACCTTGCCGAAGGATCCTTTGCCAATTAGTCGTCCGAGGGTATAGTTTCCAACCGATCGAAGGTCTTTGCTCGAGAACTCGCTGCACAACAGAAGAGATGACAGAAGGTGATTAGCAAATGGGGTCTTGTTTCGTCCGAGGAGCGCAATTGGGGAACCTACTCGAGCAACTCCTGATATGAACTCGCAAGCTGTGATGGGCAAGGCTTCTGTGTCAGCATTCCCATTCCTGCAATCTTGAACGTACGGATATTGAATGGATGGGATTATGGGAGGGGGGGTAAGCAGGCTCGATCGAAGCAGGCAGGCGGGCAAGCAACGCCAAAGCAACGCAACCCAAGTGCATATCCTCTCTCTCTCTCTCTCACAGACACACACACCTTGGCTTTCCGTCCAAGCGCCTCGGCCTTCCCTTTTGCCGTCTGCATCACTCCGCGCCGTCGGGACGGGACCCGGTCCGCATCCGCTTCTGGCCACCAGCGACTGCAATTACTACCTTGGGGGAAGTCGGGGGTATGATTATATCCAAGTTATGGAGCGAGGCGCAAGCTATCGAAGCGAGAATAGGTAGGTGATTGAGGGGGAAGGACAGTAGTATCCGTGACAAGGGGACCAAGGGAACCAAGGAGATTATTAACGGAATTGGCGGACAAAAAGAGCGTCTTTGTAATTGTAGGATGGTACTGTCGTCGAAGATGCAAACATGGAATTGGGAATGGGATATTCTGTTCGTCGCTGGGGGCGGTCGGGGTCTCGGAGAATTGCGACGTTCGGGACTCTTTTTTTTTTTTTTTTTTTTTTTCCCTTGTCGCGTAATACCACCTCAACGCCAAGTACTACCTAAGTAGGTCAAGGTATGTAGTAGTAAGTGTATGTAGTCGGGAGCGGACTCGGAGAGAGAGAGTAGACGTTCGGGATGCACAGTAACAGACGGACGGGGTCTCTTGGTCGCGTGGGAAGTGCAAGCCTCGCTCGTTTCGTTAACGGCGGTCGGTTTGCGCCGTGGCCGACAAGGGGCACGTTCGCTCGGGGTGGACTTTTGGATTGGAATTGGGATTAGAATCGAAATAATGGGCGTGTAATTGTGAAATTGCCCAGGCGTGGTATGGCTTCGTTGCTTGTCGATCCTCAGCTTTCCTTGCACTGGAACTTGTCTCACGGCCCGGGAATGGGATGCGATGGGCTACGGTTATAGCCGGATATAGCTTGTGTAATTGCTTTTTGCCTCTAAGCAACCGATGAGGAAAACTGTCAGCGACCAAGTTCCAGGGCCTGGACAATAATTTGAAACAGATTCGAGGTGGACGGGAACTTGATGGCGGATGAATAGGAGGAGCTTCAAAGGTGTCGCCAAGCAGTCCAAGTGGAATGGCACGTCGGCCAATGTAAAATTACGGGAGACGGTACACAGCAAGGTGTGTGTTAGTAGATAATCAGGAGAAGGACGCATCGTTTCGCTGGCCTTGTGGGGCAGCTTATTTACCACGGGCCGGGCAGAGCACATGCCCATGTTTTTCTGTTACATAGTGCTTACCTAGGTAAATATTTCTGTCTATCAGAGTAACTCACTACAGAATTCCTTCTTTCCACCACTTTGACTTCTCCTTGAAGATCGACGCGCTGATTTTGTCCCATCTTTGGGAACAACCGTTGATGTACATAAAATATACCTATCTACCCCCTTCGTTTCGTCGACTCCAGGTCTATCTCTAGCAAAACAGAAACTGGGGCCCGTCCCTTGTTAGTGCAGTCCACCAGCGCACGGGCTATCATCCGACCGGGCATCTCTTTCCCATCATCCGTCCACCTATCATCCTTTTCCTTCCTTAGGTACCTAGGTTCCATCCAGCCATTCGTTACAATGGAAGCCTCAGCATCCAATGCCTGCCTACACTCGATACCATCCCCCAATTCCAGCGCTCCAGCTGGCTAGGTATTTTGTTGGTTGGTTAGCACTAGGATGGATAGTTCTTCAGTGTACAATACCGTACGTAGTACATGCCGACCACTTAACGGAGGCTAACGGGGGAAGGGAATGTCAATCACCAGTTCGTCACGAACTCCCGTCATGCAACCTCACAGCTGGCTGGATGGAGCTCGACCCGGACTGCATGCAGGGGAGGTCCCGGCAACTGAATGACGGACTGTCGTCGCTTCGGGCCTTCCATGCGACCCGTCCGTCGTCCACTACTACACTAGTTCTAGGTAGATATGTTCCTCTCTTGGCGGGGACTACTGGTGAGTGTTCTTTGCATTTCCCGGCCGCGTCTTCAGTCGGAGTGTTGCTTGCTACGAGCGGTAGTAATATATGGTCATATGCTCAGTAGTGTAAGGTGTTGACGTCTATAAGTATATAACTTCATGGTCTCAACTTGTAACGAGTATGCGCTATGTAAAGGTAGTGTACACGGTACTACTCCACGGTACTGGATTGTAATCGTGCAGCATCAATCATTTTCTTTTCACATCCTGATATCTTTCAATGTCCTGACTATGTTCCCAATTCTCAACCTTCCCATAATATATGTGTACTATACAGAGAAGACAGGAATGTCCGCATCCAAATCTCCATTTGCGCTGCGGTTGCTATGCAAGAGGACTGGGGGGTGAGTGCCCCAGCATCATCACCATCTCCGTCTTTGCAGTTAACGGGACGGACCCACTGAATGGGGCCCTCGGTATGAGATGGGTAACCGTAGAGGTACATATGGAGTTATCTGTGATTCTTGGACGAGACGAGGAAAATGAAGTTGATGGGTATGGATTACCAAAATAACAACTATTCTAATCCTGCGTGGTAGTTCATGTTCTTCGGTATGCAACAACGAAGCGAGTCCGTCTGGCTTTAAAGTTTATGAATGCCATCCACAAGAGCAAAAAAGCAGTCAACAGACGGAGGTACCTTTGGGCCTGCAGTATGAGTTGCTGGGAGTCCACAAGGATGCATCATAACGTATCATTAAAATATATAACCACATTCGTCTGAGCCACTTCCATCAATACTTATTACTAGGCGTAATCCATTACCGCTCCAAATTCGTACTCTCATATCTTCCATGGTATCACTTGCAGAAAAAAAAAAAAAAAAAAAAAAACAGCCGAGAAAGTCCCCTAAACCGTCTTGGTCACTCCGCTCTCCCTTCACCATTCCCATTCGCGTGCTCCGCGTGCCCGTGCCCGCCGCCGTTCACACCCGGAACCCAGTCCCTCCACGTGCTCGGATCCTCCACCATTTCAAACACCCTCTCCTTCTTACTCTTGTACCTCGGCGTATCATCATCCATCGCATCCAGATCTCCCAGGCGACTCTCGTCATCCGAGCTGAAGCTGCTCGAGCTCGGGCTGCGGTTCAGCACCATGCGGACCTTGGCACCCTCCTTCTTCTTGATCTCCAGCTGCTCCTTCTTGGCCTTCTGGTGCTCCTCGTCGCCGCAGTCCAGCGCCCGGATGTGCAGACCCGGGAACTGCGACTGCAGGAACGCCTGCAGGTCAGGCAGGACGCACTTGTCTGGGCGGTAGGTGCCGCTGTCGTTGTCGATGATGAGCTCGTAGTCCTCCGGGTCGCGAGAGGTTTCAGATGATGCGCTTGGGTGATCGTGTGTCTCGTGGTCGAACCCGTTCTCGCAGGTGCTACTTTCCTGGTCATTGTAATGGTGGCTTGAAGAGTCCGTGTGAGGGTGACGGTGCCTGTGGCGCTTGGAAATACGTCTGATGAAGAACTCGCCCGAGCAGGCGATGTAGGTCGCCACGTCTGAGTGCATGGTGTGCTTGCTCAGTAGATCAATACCGAATTCCTTGCCCGTCTCGGTGAAGCGCAGCAAGCCGTCCAAGGTGAGCACGTAGGTGAAGATGCGACCTCCTTCCGCATAATGCGCCATCTTGAGAAACTGTACAGAAGCCTCCCTGCTGCGTTCTGCAAATATCCCGTATTGGGTACTAGAGTCGAAATTGTAGATTCGCCTGTGCTGCTTGTGAAGAACTTTGTTCAGGATGTGACCCCTGAAACCTTTTTGCGAAAACATCTTGCCGATGATGGGACGGAACTCGACATAGCGGTGGTATAGTTTGGGAGGAACTGGCCCAGCAAGTTGGATTTCGTTGGCTTGGAAACTGCTCTCTGTCTGTCAGCATATGCTTCGTCATATTCAACCCCTGGGCTTGGATCACGCACTCATATTTTTGTGGCATATTGCTGTTGTCATCGCTGTCTGACCCGGCTGTCGTGCCTGTCAGCCGCCCGATCATGGGACTGAAGTGCTTGACCCAATAGGTAGGACCCAGAGTGCACATCTGGGCATGAGGCGGATCCGAGAGGCCGAGGACGTTAACGCTAATGTGTATCTGAGGTGTTGTCCATTTCAGTCCATTCATGAGGGCCTCGATGCCCTTGTGGAAATATGCCCGTTTGCTGCCCGAACGCTTCCTAACTTCAAAGAACTTGCCATCCAGTCCAAATCCCGGCCAGTCCTCGTCTAGGTGATCCACCTTGATGGTGACATTGCCCAGTCGGTCATCATGGTCTGGCCAGTCCTCGTCATATAGGCGGCACTTTAATACGAATCCTGTAGTTGGCACATTGGCAACGATCCAGTCTTCCTCCCATACCGGCTCCAGACTATGATGTATAGTCCGTGTCCTGCGCGTGAGCGGAGGGTCTTCTGGGTGTCTCTTGGGGACATCAGCAGTCAGTGTGGCGTGGATGTATGGATCGGCGGATACTGTCTGGATATCGGCCACTGGGAGGTTGATAGCCTTGTGGAAGGTGATTTTGATGGTATACCCGGGAGGAGCGTCGGGGAGCGGAGTTGGATCGAATCCGCCTGGTGGGTTATCGTCATTGTCTTGAGGTTCGTTTTGACTTTGCTCGTGTGAAGTGTCCTCGGGAGGATCATCATACGTGGGTTGCTCAAGGTAGTGCTCTGCTGCGGCAGAGGGAAGAGCCATGTTTTCCAAAAATCCACCGAGTCCAATCAGCCTGCTCCAGTCGTCGTAGGGATTAGTGTTCTGTTTGGTTGGCCAATCCCGTGTTACTTTTTCCACCACCACGATTCAAGTCCAGGTTCGTTGTTTTCAAGTGTGCCCTTGGTTGCGCTTTTGGGCTGATTGGAGTTGGAAGTCGAGGGGAGTTGTACGACTGTTACTGGGCCCGGGATGATGGGGTATATAAGGTACTTGTATTTCCAAGAATGGCAAGAAAAAGACCAAGGTACTTACTCAAGGGAGGATCAGCAGGGCACATCTATCTGCACGGTTTTTCACGCGCGGCTGTACGTCGGGTCCCTGTCCGGGTCGCTGTCTCTGATTTGGTGGAGGGATGGAAGGCCGTTCCCCCAGCCCAGCTCTTCCCTGCCCTGTCTCCCCCCGGGCTTCCACATGCCCACCCAGCACCCCGCTGCGCCTGCGTTCGGTTCGGCATTCACACAGCCCAGCCGGGCAGTGAATGACTCAGCGAGTCAGCTTCAAGTTCTCCCATTGTGACATCCGAGGAAGGAAGCTGGTGTACAATGACCTTGGTTGATCTTCCCTTTTTTTTTGTCTACACTGCGCTTCCTTGAATTCCATCGGCACTAAGTACGGCCGGCTTAGCCCAGGCTTTGAGGTGACTTTTTCTATTTACTGCCAAGATCGATACCATCCTAGCGACTCAAGTACATAATCACCTAGGTTTGCGCAATGGAATGACCCCAACTGTTCCAGTCTAAACAACGACAAGTTTCTCCAAGAATTTGATGACGTCACATGCCCTCCTCCACACACTCCAGTCGTTTCTCGTCAGGTCAGGTCTACAACATTAACCATCTGACTTGACTACTAGCGGGCGGTATGTAGTGTACCTACTTGTTCTTAAGGGTTCCGGTCACGGCTACTCGGCATCGCGACAGCAACATTTACACTATGTAATTTCATCCGCCAAGCGCCAAGGAACCACCATCCTTCCGCAGCGCCTTCGGGTCCTCTCCCGTTCGTCGTCTTGGCTCGGCGCTGCCCGGTCTCGGCGACGAACGTTCCCACACTCAATCGCCTGTGCAGTCTTGGCAAGAGGTGTGTGTGCGTGCACACACACACACACACCGCACTTCTGTATTACACAACTTCGTCAAAATTCATTATTTCATAATAATTTCTATATTAATTTAAAGCTATTTCAATATGCAAAGTAATTATAATACTAGTAATTAATTAAATCTATTGTAATAATACTTCCTAAAATAATTTTTAATTTAAAGTCCGCCGGCGTAAAATAATCCCGTACTCGAAACGGCGTACTAATAATCTACTTCGACGAAGATTAAAATTAGGAAGATCCTAATTTAATAATTCTATAACGTGCTTTATCCTACCCTAGAAAGAAGAATTGTAAAACCAAATAGTTTATTAAAATTATTTCTAAAATTATTTTATTTAAGAAGAAGGTTACTCCTATTAAAACCGCTATTAAAAAGACCGTTATTAAAAAGACTACTATTAAAAAAGGGAAGGCTACTGTACTAAAGCTAATCCTAATCCTAGTCCTAGAACCGCTATCGTCCCCCCTCAAACCCGTAATACTTATTAAAATTTCTAATAGTGAAGAAGACTTTAATAACAATGATAAAGTTAAATAATAGTTCCCCGTCCGCCTTACCCCTAAGAAGCGGGCTCTCGATATTTTATTTTATTTATCGGGCAATAATAATAGCGAAATAGCCTCTCCGATTAAATTAATTACCTTAATACTACCGGCCTAGCCCCGTACTACCTATAAGCCGGTCGCTATAGTACCGCCGTTACTATATCCTAAATACCCCTATTTAATACGGGTCTAGTTTAATATAATTAGTTTATATATTACTACTAACCGTATTAAATTACCTACTATCGAAGAATATAATTTATTTAGAAAGGTTAAGGTTGAATAAAATAATAGCGAGCTTTATAAATAGTAGTTTAGAACGATACTATTTAATAAAATCCTATATATACAATAAAGTTATATAGAAAATATTATTAGTAATAATATAATTATAAGGATAAAGCAATTAGTCTCTTTATACAATATTATATATACTACCGCTACTTATAATAACCGCCGCGCCCGGGTTATTATATATAATAAAACTATTCCCGGGAAGGATTTTTATAACGAATACAATAATATTAAGTACGAGACTGTTATAAAGTTGTACCTCTACTATATTGGCTAGTACTACTATTTTACTATATTATTTAAATTTCAATTAACCGACCTATCCGCTAATAAAATCCCTGCTACCCTATCCTCCCGTAGTAGTATACCCTCTACTCCTACCCCCTTTCGTAGTCTAATTAATCCTTTTATTACCCTAACCTTACGAACGGTCGATATACTATTATTACAAGGGTTACAAACTCTAATTAGCATTGAGAAATCTAAACGCGTTATAATAAATACTATATTAATAGAAGTCGAAAAGAATTTAGAAGAAGACCGGCAATAAGAGGAACATACGGAGGTAAAGCTACGCGGTACCGTATATTAGGAGCTAATATAGGTATAGGCGTATAGTCTTAACTATAAATATAAGAATTACAATAAGGCTATTAAATATTAAATGTATTATATTATAAATAGGAGTATAACCTATTATAACTTCAACGTTAAAAATATGGGTAAGTAGGTACGCGCTATATTGCTAGGGAAGGCTACGGTAGCTAACCCGCTATTTAAATTAGTACGAAATATATTAAGTAATAAGGTAGTAGCCGCCTTTAGCATTAGTAATAATAATAGTAAACGTAGGGGAGGAGGTAATAATTTACTAATTAATATTAATATTATTAATAATATTAATAGTAGTAATAGTAATACTAATATAGAGACTATAAATAATCTATTATAAATTACGCTAAGGAGGGATAATTTTAAAAGTCTATACTAATTATACCCTCCTCCCTTATATTTACTATACCCGCTACTATATTAGTACTTCCCTCCCTACTTTTAATATCCCTAAGTTTAGTTACTTTATACCGCCGGCGGCTCTATCGCTAATTCGGTAATTACTAGCGATTATAATTATAATATAGCGGGCGCTCTCCCTCTACTGGGCAAAATAGTAACTATCGACTTATATACGCTATTAGAATATTTTACTACCGTATTCTATAAGTATCCGACCGACTATAAAACTCTTGCTACTAGGCATACTAACACCAACCCTCCTCCTATCTCTACAGCGACTACAATATTTATTTAACTACTAGTACTATTATTAATCGTACCGCTATTAATAGTAGGTAAAGAGGACGAGGGCGAAGAAATTAGAAATTCCCTAATAAAAGTTAGAGAATTATTTATATTACGTCCGCTTATACCCTTAATTCTTAATTTTTATTTATTACTACCACCCCCCGCCCTACTTAATCGGCCGGCTAAAGAGATTATTATTGAATTCTTTAAGGCGTTCTATAAGCGTTATTATATCGGATTGTTAATTAAAGTAGTATTAGTATATAGAGCTCTAATTGTTTTAAGGAATAAATTCCGGAATAAGGAGGCGCCGCCCGATATATTCGCGCTTAGAGAGTAGCCGGTAGAATAGTTTACGAGGCTAAGGTTCAATTACAACCTCTATACGACATTTAAGGACGGTATTAAAGACTTCCTTAAAATTAAATATATAGTATTAGTAATATAGTTAAATTATAGTAAATATACCCTCTAACTCCTATTACTATAATTTAACTAACTAATATATATTCTAGACCTATAATTTAATACTATACTCAAATACAACGTTACTAGAACTCTCGCTTCTATAGCGGGTAGTACTATTATTAATAGTCCTAGCAAGTAATAACAATATTACAAGTCAATTTATAGCGAAAGAGGGGGGTTTCTAACATTTTAACATTATTATATAAATAAATACGATTTCTGGCACTTCTGGCACTTCTAGCACTTTTAATATTTCTAGCATTTCTAGCATTTCTAATATTTTTAGCATACAATTCAATTTAATACACATAAATCTATCTCTCCCTTCTATATTCTCTACCGCCGTCTAGATATAGTACCCGTCTCTCTATATTCGATTAGCTCGTTAATATATAATTCGCTATACTCTTTATTAATATTATTAAATCGATCTATTACTAATTTTACATTCTTAAAATAGCCACAGATTTATTATACTCTATACCCCACATCCTATATTAATTGTTTAAAAAACGTAGTAAAATTGTTATTTAATATTTTATTACCGCCTTTATTATAATATATCTTCTTGAATTACCGTTTAAAGTCGCTAAAGTATATTTCGATAGGGTTGAATTCGGAAGAGTATAGCGGTAAATACTATAATAGAACCCCCTTCTAATTATATACGTATTAGAATTTAGTACGGGGGTGTTAATTAGTATTATTTATTATTAAAATACTATTACGACCGGGAAATAGATTTATTTTAAGGAGTAAGTATTTTACTATCTAGTCTTAAACCCCGATTGAATCTATTATACTTTTAAATACTAATATATTGAATAGTCTATCTACTATAATAATTAGGAGGAGGTAATATTGCGTACTATATACGAATTTGTTTAATACTATTATAATAGCGTTGCGGGGTACTTAGCTAATACGATGAGCGCCGTCCCTTCGGTTTATATTAGATTTATTATAGAATACGAATATCTTTATAATAAATAAAGAGATCTTTAATATTTATTCGGCTATTAATATAGGGAATTATTATAATACCTTTATATAGAATTACTTCTTCTTCTATTTATTTTATTGAAAGTGCTACTGTACGGTCTCAATCGAAATATACACATTATACTCGTTAGCCAGAAAGGTACAAATCTTATTGAAGTATAAATCGGGTTTTAAAACGAAGAGGTTTATAATTTCCTTTACAATATTAATTATAATTAATAAAATATAGGGAGCAATATAGTATACGCTGTACCTTAAGTGCCTATATAGGAAGCTTTCTAGTATTCTAGGAAGCTCGCAATAGTAAAAATACTTTGCTAGTATCCGATAGAGTACGTTTATATTTCTACATACTCCTTATACTCATACTAATAATTTTAATAATATTATTAGGATACTCGTTATTTACTAATATTATTGTTATTAATGCCTTTTAATAAGTATTAGGGTAGCGTACTATATTAATAACGGTTTAAAAGATAATATAAATATTAAAATAGATAATTACACGACGTAGAATATTAAAATATCGATTTTTTACACTAGTTTTGGCTAGATTTCGATATTAAACAATTGAGTTGAGTCGTGTAAAGCGATGTCAAATGGCCAGATTTGTCAAATGCGGTGTGTGTGTGTGCACGCACACACACCTCTTGCCAAGACTGCACAGGCGATTGAGTGTGGGAACGGTGATCCGCGCTGTTCCTGCTGACACCCCGTTTGATCAAATCAGCCTTCTCTTTTCTTTTCGAGACAGTCTTTCACATGTTTCGTCCACTCAGCATTTGCGATCGTCCACGGCGCATCGGCCAGTCCGTTGCATCCTTGTTCCCGAAAAAAAGTTGTTGAAGCATGCGGACGACGCTCCGGTCACGCCTTACCTACTTATGTACCTACCTATTCAGTAGGTAGTCTAATGGTACCTGGCGCAGGCTCGCTAGCCTGTCTTGCACTTGCACTGCCTCTTGTCAGCCACACTTCCATGTCATGTCAAAGCGGCATTGCGGCAGATGAATTCGATACTTATCGACCCCTCGGCTCTCAACTTCCGGATCTACATCAAATGTTATTCCTGTCCGCCGAGTATATGCCTATCAATGATGCGAGTCTTTTACGTCGCTATCCGATAGGAACACAAGAGAACACCATAAGGTGAACATGTTCACAATTTGGGTATATTATCGTCATAAATCGTGAGCCTCACCCGGCCGATGCAGGCAGTGATCCCCCACTCCGCTGATATGCTATGCTACTAGAGGTAAATACTATGCTATGGCAGACCTTCCTCCTCCTTCCCCTCCTGGCTGCCGCTACTATCATCCTCAGAGGCATGGGCATCCTCCCCATTGCCTGTGGCTCCTGCTGGTGATGGTACCTCTACCTTCATGTACTTCTGCGTTTCCTCCTCAAACCGGAACTTGAAATTCGTCTCATCCTTGTCGTTGTCGTTGTTCTTCTCCTTGTATGCTCGGAAATCCTCCGCCATGAACTTCTCCGGCTCCGGCATCAAGGCCGGCAAGCAAAATGGCGTTTGCCCTACTTCTTCCGTCCAAGACGCCCCCGCTCCGGCCGCCCACGCCGGTAAGAGTGGTGATAATAGTGAAACCGGTGGTAGCTGTTCGGCATCTCTGTTTCTCTTTTGTTCCTCCTGCTGTTGCTTCTGTTCTTGCTCTTGCTGTTCTCGTTCCCGCTCCCGCTCCCGCTCCCGCTCCTCCTTATCCCTCCTCACCTCCTTCTCTTTCTCACTAACACCACCAACATACCCCTTCTTCTTCTCGTCCATCTCCTCATCAATTACTGCTTTCTTTGAATCGATCTTCTCATTCGAGATAATAACCTCCTTCACGTCCGCCTCAGCAAACAAATCATCCATCTTCTCCTTGATCTCCCCGTCAACCCCGTCCATCTCGCACCGGACCTGCCCGTCGATCTCGTAGTGCCCTGTATCGTCACCCATCTCGTGTCGATGCCACCCCCCATCCAGTTCGTAAACGGTATTTGGGTCGGTAATGGTCGACTCTGTCCTCGCTTCCTTTCGCTGTCGTTGCTCTTGTTCCTGCTGTCGCTTTCTGATTTGTCGTCGTCGCCGGGCAACGAGGAAACTGGCTCCGCCGGCGAGGAAAATGAAGGCCCCGACGATTCCTACGGCAATGCCGATTACTGCTCCATTGGAGATCACTTTGTCTTTTTGGGCCGATGCTGCTGGGTCGGAAGAGGAAGAAGGAGAAGAAGAAGAAGAAGAAGAAGAAGAAGAAGAAGAAGAAGAAGTGGCGGGGGTGCCTGTGGTAGTGGTTGAACCCAAGGGTACATAAGCCGGATTGGTTGCTATATTTTCCCTCGAGAGTTAGCTTCTGCGAATTTCCCACTTGCTTTCCCATTCATCACACGAGCCAAGTATAGTGACTTACAAGGAGCAGTATCCTTATTACAATCAATCAACATTGCACACACATTTCCATCCCCATTCAAATCATACGAAAACCCCGTCTTCGCTCTCTGCCAACACGTAAAATCGCCATAGCCATTATTTCCTTTGCCCACGTAATCGTTCTCAGCGACATGGTACCCAATCACCGCCTTGAAAGTGACGCCCGTGTCCGCCCATGTCGCCGACGTCGTGTCGTTGTACCATGCTGCCGTCGTGTTGAATTTCGTCTCCACGCTCGCCACGCCGCCTGTCGGTAAGCCGTGGACTTCGGCGCTGTAGTAGGCCATTTGTGATGAGCGAATCCCTTGGGCGGAGAGGCAGTCACAGAGGATGACGTGTTCCGTGGTGCTTCGCTTTTGGGGTCGGCCTGCCAGGCTGTTACTGTTGCTCGTAAAAGGGAGGGTCGGACTTTGAGTGTGCCCGGCCGGGATGACGCCATTGTCGCCGTTGCCGTCGCGGCGGACCACATTGATGCTGATGCTAGCCGAGGCTACACATGTTGAGTAGAAGAACGTTGCCAGGAGAAAGGACCAGGTAACTCGGGAGATGACGGCGGTAACAGAGACGGAGACGGAGGCGGAGAAGGGCGCAGCAGCGGTCCGAATTAGAATCATGTTTCCGTTTATTCCTTTTCAACTTTCCCAACCAAGCAAACCATTGACTTGCGTACGCACACTTCTAGAGAGCGGAGAGCAAAGCGCAGTCGTAGTCGTGATCAAGCCGTAGTTCAAGCCGCAATCGCACCGCCTTGAGCCGAAGTTATGTAATGAGCCGCTCCGTGTCGTGAAACCGAACCGAACTTAGCCTAAACTTAGGAACGACGAACGGACTGACGGACGAACAGAGTTGAAATAGGGAACCTCACTGCCCTGCAGCCCTGAACGGTCATGAGTAGCTACATGAAAGTCGGTGAAGCGATAATGGTGAAATGACAGAAGATCCCCAGCATTATCGAATTGAAAGGACGCTTGATTTTTCCGACTGACCGCAATGGGAGGATGAAGTGGAGAACTTCAATCTCAGTATGTCTCAAGTTTCTTTCCCAAAGGCCGTCACGGAGGGCATATTTTAGTTATAGCGCTGTTCTCACATCCAGGAAGGGGAATCGTTGACTTTCCCCAGTGTTGTTGTCGTCGTTGTAGTCTGTTGTCGTTTTCTTAATCACTAGCCGTTTGCCAAAGGTTGAATATTTGAAGGGGACCCTGAAGCGGGCGGGAAGCAGATCATCGCTTTTCGCTTTTGGTGTTTTGGATGAATGAAGGCGTCACGGCCCCATGTTGAAGGAGGCTTTGAACAAGTTGAAACAAGGTCTGGCTGGCTTGAATACCAGATGGAAATTGCCATCGGCATCCGAGGCGAAAGAAAGGAGATGGTTTAGGATGGATGAACGTGGAAGTAGGAAGTGGAAAGACATATTAGATAGATCTGTCTTGGGTTGAGGGCTAGAAGTTGTGAAGTGGGTATGCGTCACTAACAGAACACGCCATATTTCTCTCACAAAGCTGTTAGTTTTTGGCTGGCTAGACCATTGCCCCAGAAATATCACCGTGCAATGCAACAGTGTGCTGACGGGCGTCACAGCCATCTTAACAAATTCCCCAATCATCGGTTCTACGATTCTGGCTTGGCATTCATTGTCCGTTGACTTGCTCCGTAACCTCAACCCTCTGGAGGCTGCGGCTTTGGTTGGTGAGATTGGGTGACTGGCATAAGGGGGGTTCGGGAAGTCCTGATGCCTTCCACTTCGGGACGAGCTGATGTATTAAACCGACGTAGGCTGGACATGAGGTGCGTCAGGACGGTGTGGCCGGTTGAGACGGTAGCTTTGAGCCAAAATATACCACCGGGTGTTACTTGGAGCTTTTGTGTCGGGCGTGAAGAGGCGGGGTGCCCAGGTCACCATGGCACAACCATCTTGGTGGTCATTGAAGAGACACTTCTCGGGGAGATATCCCAATCTCCATCCAGCTATTTCCCTTTTGCCAGTCCTCTTCACTTGTCGCCAGTCGATATCTCGAACGCCCAGGCGGCACCACGAGGAGATTCAGGTAGGTGGCAGCATGCACTAAGGATTAACCCAACCCCTGTGAAATCTCAGTCAGGTTCGATGTCCGCTATTGTTTTATCTGATTGAAACGCTTGGGCATTGCGGCAAAGTTAAGACTGCTGGCCCACCTGAATGCCGCTTCACACCCTTTCCATATGCCACCATGCATGTAGTGCCGCCACATGTTGGTTGCTTACTCAGAACCATGGAATTCGAAATAATTCTGGCCACTGCCCTTCGATAACGAAAATCAGCTCCATGAGGTAAAGTTCGATCGATGCCCCGAGGCGGCGTAGTGCGTGAAATGACCTGAAGCATATCCAAATTGTCGGGATATCCGAAAGCTTGATTGTCAAGGCACACGTAGCACTTAGGCCCCCGAACGCGGCCGTAGATGTTCGCATCCAGATATCTTATCGACAGCTTATATATGCAACTATAAGCTCCAATTTTCATCTTTTTATGTTGAAGGGAGGGATGCGGCTCGGTTATTAATCTCATAGCGTGACACTGGAGGTCAGCCTGACCCTTGGCGGTTGCTTTCCGAGTTACCATCCCATCTAGGACTCCTGCCAAAGTCTCTGCGCCTCCATATCCTTTCATGGCCGGTTTGCCGATGGTGAGTGTCGCGTTCTGGCCATCTTGGGGTCTGACTCCTCTCGGATCCAGATGCATGCCGCCTAATGTCATCTTCCCCTTCATCATCCACATCTAAAGAATTTTGCGCCTTCCGTTTTCTGCTGGCTTCACCTGTGCTTGAAGCTTGAGGGTATTTAACTTCCTTATCCCACGCCACAAGCGAGTGTGCCGGACTTCTCAGCCAGCTCCTCAGTTCATGCAAAAACAAGCGTGCGTGATCTCGTCCTAGGAAATCAGCCAGCATATCTTCTGCCTGGCCGGCGCTGCCCTGTATGTCGACCGTTTTGAGAATGGCTATGATATACTCGAGGAGGAATTCGGCGTTGTTTCGGCGGCGGGTCAGTTCGCGTTCGGAGGCATTACTCGTACTGCCACTGGGGCCAGCAGTTGGTTCGGGGTCGGAGAGAAAGGCGAACACTTGTAGCTCGCGTCGTATCCAGAGACGGGCACGTGTTATTAGGTGTGGTGTAGTGGCAAACTGGTCAGGCGTTGGGGTTGGTTTGTATCCGGAGATGCGGTTTGAGCCAACGTCTAGTTGTGGTGTAAGCATTAGTCTTTGGCCATGACTCACTGTTTGCTTCAACGACGTACGTAAAGAATATAACTGGTGCCGATATATGTGTCTGCGGCGTTCTATAGCTTCCCCTGGGGTGGGTGTACTGTGAGTATTAGCGTCGCAATCTCGTCGTCGGCGCTGGTCGTTACGGCGTTGTCGAAGGAGGTTTGATAGTGCCGGGTTCCCCGACTGGTCCCCGTTCCCATTGTCCCCATTTGTATTGCGCGGCCTCGGGGCATTAGGTACTCGATAGAAGCTCTCGTTAGAGGTCGAGTCAACGTATCGGACCTTGTAGATGGCGGCCTTGCATAGTGGGCAGTTTGGATGTTCTTGAAGCCTATGTATGTATGTCCCCTTGTTAGCTCAGCGAAGCCTATGGGAATTCGTAAATGGACGACATACCAGCTCACAAGACATACAAAGTCAAAGTGGGAATGAGCACATGGCATAGCAGTGCAAGGTTCTGAAATGGAATCAAGACAGATGACACAGCAGTCGTCTGCCTCGGCTACCTCATCATCATCATCATTCACACCCTCGCCATCTTTCTCGTTGGCGGCACTCGCCCGTCGCGTCGCTGTGATCTCCTGGAGGGTTGTTTGCAGAACTTGGGCCTGGATGTCGAGAGCCTCGTCAGTTGCTTCCATAGGGCTGAGGGAATGACTGGTAGTACCGGGCATGGACTGTGTTGTCGCGCCCACGTTGAAGTTGTTGAAGGACAAAATGAGGATGGTTGTTTGGGTGCAGTAAGCAACTGAAGTGCTGATGTAATAGTGTACAGCCCCAGTGCAGCTGCTTCCACTTGCACATGCTCGACATTTTAGTGGATCTTAGGCACGCGAGCCCCTGCCGCCAGTGGGTTCTGATGAACAAATGCCCCACTGTTTGTGCTGCTTGGGTGGAGTGTAACGTACGGTAACGTAAGGCGGAAACAGCAACCAAGGCGTGCAAGGGAACCATCGCGTCCTTCCATTTATTACTGGGCGCGCCTTGTCTGAATCTTTAATTGATATTCCGGTTTTGGCTGTTCTCGACTTTTCGACTTTCCACCAAGCGCCTCGAAATGCTCTTTTTCTTCAAGTCACAAGTAGAACCATAATGGATGAACAGCGAAAAGCCGAATATGAAAGCCAGAGTCTCCAGTTGCGTGCAGAACTGAAGCAATTCGAGGCAGAATGGGCCCAAAAGAACGACGGCAAGAAGCCGTCCCGTGAAGCCATCAAACAGAATCCGGATATTGGTATGCCATCCAGACTGGTCTTCTTTGACGATTCTAACATGTGATCCCTTACAGCCCAGAAATACAAGCAGTACAACAAACTTCGCGACATACTCTCCGGAAAGATCCCTCCTCCCACCAGGAGCGACAACCAAGACCCAAGCCAACGCAAGCGCAAGCAACCAGACACATCCCTCCCATCCGCCTCGACTCCCTCCAAACGCAACAGGTCTGCCGCTACCCCCAAGTCACAACACTATTCTGCCGTACATGAAGCGATCACTCCAGATGTAGCGAGGAAACTCTTCAGTCCCGCCGTTCCCTCTTCGATTGGGCCTACCCCCCAAAAAGATGGCCGTGTTCTCGGTCTTTTCGATCTTATATCCCATACCCCATCCAAATCGACAGACGAGACCAAACCACGAGTATCCGGATTTACAGCTACGCCAAGTAAACGCCGCCATGCCCTCGACCTCGAGAACGACAAGGATGATGATGATCATGACGAGAAGGACGGCAAGGAATTCATAACCCCCAGCATCCCGCGACATCGTAACCTCGACAGAACCCCATCCTCCGGGCGCAATCGCAACCTTCTCGATAGCTTCCTCGGAGTCCGTGCTACCAAGACATCCACACCACTGAACAAGAACACTGGGAACTCACCCTCGAAAAACAACCTCACCAAGACACCATCCGGCGAGCGGTCGGTGTCCAAGCTGCAGTTCGCCACACCCGCTTTCTTGCGTCGTACATCTGCGCCGCTACCACCCGTGGACGAAAATGGCGAGTGGTTGGACATTGAGCCCTTGAAGCTCCCACGAAAACCGTTCAGCATAGCAAAAGGGAAAGGGCTTAGCAGCGTGGTGGCCAGCCTACGGAAGATGGAGGAAGAAAAGCTGGATGAGGAGCTGGATATGTTGAGGGAAATGGAGGCGACGGAACAGGGCGGAATGGGTCCTCCACCACCAAAGATGACGGTTGCATCGACAAGTGAAGATACGGAGAAGAAGAAGCAAGTAACAGACCCTGCGGGGGCAGAGGTTGTACCAGAAGAGGAGAACAATTTCGAGGAGGACGAGGCAGCTCTAATTGAAGTTGAAGCGAGCTTCCTCGAATCACCATCATCAAAGAGGAAGAAAGAGAGGCGACCGGTTCTACTGAGCGGCTTCGATGATGAAAATTTCTACGACAGTCAAGATGAGGAGGACCTGAGCAAGGAGGGATTGGATCGCAATGGGCAGCCACTACGAGTGTTCAAGAAGAAGGGACAAAAGAGGACGACCAGGAAGGTCAACATGCGACCGACAAGGACAAAACGACCCAGTGCACCAATTGCCGAGGAAGAGGATGACGGTGAGGAAGAACACAACGACGTGATACCGGAAACTCAGTTCGACGCGACCAAGAACCTGGATGGCGATGATCACCACACTCTGGATTCGTTGTCGTCCGGCGGATCAGGATCGGAATTTGATGATGGGTCAGAAGGCGAAGATGAAGAAGCGGGGGCGAGCACTACAAAGGCTGCAAAGGCTGCCGCAAAGAAAAAGGCGCCGCCGGCAAAGGAAAAGACAAAGAAGGATGCGACTATGGAGACCAAGAAGAAAAAGGGAACGAAAGAAGGTGGTGATGAAGAACCAGCTAAGAAGCCGCGCATGGTCAAGGCTACAGCAAATGCGAACTTCAAGAGGTTGAAGCTGAAGAATAACGGGGCAAAGGGAGGGCCAGCTCATAACAGCCGGTTCAGGAGGAGGAGGTAGTAGAGGGATGTTACCCATATGGAACGGTAAAGAGGATGATGAAGAGATGAGCTATGATACTGCGTCCTACCTTCTTGGTGTCACTGAGCGTGAAGTGCATAGAACTAGACTATCCTTAATGGTAGAACATAACAACCTCAACATCCATTTCCGTGCCGTGAATACCCTGAGGTCTCAGTTGTTCATACTCAGGCTCCCTGTCCTTCATGGTGCATACAGTCCCATAGTAAGCTCCCACTCATCAATCAGCTACGGACATGTGTAAATATATGCAGACATTTTTCTTCATATATACTTATGTACATGTACGTAACTTGATCAGATCAGTCACATCCTCAAAAACAAAAAACAAAAAATCATGTACATCAGAAATAGTCCACCAACCAACCCCTCACTTCCCATCCATCCCCTCTCACCTCAACCGACCTCATCCTCACTCACCATCATGCCCAAGATTTCCCCTTACGAGCACTGCGAATAATAATCATTCTGCTTCTTGCAAGTATACGGGCTCGCACAAGTAGTGCACCCCGAGAATCCCATCCCACCGCACTGCGCCCACTGCGCAGCCGTGCAACCACCACCACCACCACCAGTAGGCTGAGGAGCAACGACGCTCGTCTTCAACGTTGTACTCGTGCTGGTGATCACCGCCTTGCTGGTGGTGGTGCTGCTAGCTGGCTTAGCAGTAGTAGAACCACCACCACCGCCACCACCGTTTGCAGAGCAAGTAAACTTGGCCGGGCCAGGAATGGTATAAGTGCTGCTTGGGCTCATGGAGTAGATGTTGACCAACAGACCGGGGTCAGTCGCCTTGTAGATGCCGGGGATCGAGTAGGTGGTGGAGGGGAGAGCGGTGCCGGTGCCGCCGACGATGTTGATTTGGGCGCATTCCATGTAGAGTTGGGCGCCGGCGGTGGAAGAGGCGGCGTGCAGGGCGATCATCTCGGCGCGGAGGAGGTATTGGCCTGAGGGGATGCAGGCGGGGATGTCGCTGGTGTATGTGATACCTGTGTTAGTTACCTCTATTCGATTTGGGTGGTGAAAGGGAGGACTAAGGAGAACGTACATGTACTGGAAACCACCGTTGGTGATGACGGTGCTGGTACCCCATTGGCCGTTGTTGTAGCCGTCTTCTTGAATCTTGAACCTGTTTTTCTTGAGTGTCAGAATCTGGTTGACATAGTACCCAAGTACTGAGTGAGTAGGGGGACCACTCACCATCCACCGCCGATACCAGTGTCAGTCAAGGCGTCGTCAACCTTCTTGAGGTAGGCAAGGGTAGGACCCTTGTGGCTGGCGTCCATGACATCGTCGGCGCCGGAAGTGAGAGTGTGTCTCCAGATGGCCTTGACGGTGCTGCCGGCGTTGACGGTGATGATCTTGTCAGAGGGAGTGGTGGGGTTGGGGCCGCCGTTGCAGGCAAGGTCGTTGGAGGTCACGTCGGTGATGGGACCATCGTAGGACGGGGTCCGGATTCCGTAGGAGACCGGGTAGGTGGTGCCGCCGGCTTCGAGCTGGACGAAGATGGTGTGGGCTGAGGCCGCGGAGGCGGCGACGAGGAGGGAGAGGACCTTCATCTTGTCTGGTTGGACGACACCGAAGTACTGGAGTACATAAACTCGAAGGGACCTACAGACTCGCAGATAGTAATATGTGAGGAGTAGGAAGCGAGTCGTCGATATATATGTACTACTTCATGGCGGGTCGCCACTCTCACCAAGGCTGAGAAAGCATGAGGTTGAACATGTGGAAAGCTTATTAAAGGGTGGTCCTGATCGTTTCGGGACGTATAAGAAGCCACAATGTCACTGTCTAGGTCGCATTATCTCCTTTCGGGTCGTCTCTTCTAGAGCCAAAACCGGGACGCTGGAAGCAAGACCGCCATGCGGCGCATAGCGAGGGCGGAAGAAGGCCGTCCGGGGTAGCAACACATCCGGATCGGGACAGCCACTCGACGTTTCAGCGTTGGATTCGCCGCGATATCGGATGTCAAGGTGCCGCGACGGATGGAGACGTAAGTCCATCCATACAGGATATTCAAGGCATGACGGGTTACATGGCATCTCGCTCCGGTGGCTCATGTTTGCGTCAGCATCCTAGGACATGATGGCGCAGGAGTTGCGGTTCATTTGAGCCGAAGCTTCTCTGCATCGTGTACACGGCTATCGATCTACGTAGGAGGCTGGAATAAAAGAACTGTGTTTTAATGTTGTTACCCCATGTACAGTAAAGTTTCCTGGACAACAAGGGAGTGACCATGGAACGGTTCATGAACTGACGACGCATCTGATCGACGGACTTGTTGATGCGATATGGTGATCCCGTCATTGTCGGCCATTGTGGGTCCTTACAATGTCTTGAATGATATTCTCGGAGTTGAAGACGGTGAGAATAAACAGTAAGCGTGTCGGCAATGGTCACGAAGGACCGTCGTGGTTCCCGGATCATGATCCGATGTTGTTTTGTTGTTGATTTGCACCACCGTAGAGGAACAAATAAAAGGGGTGCTGCCAGCTGCCGGCCAGACATGCTCCATCTGGCCCACCTGACATTTCCAGAATTCCACTGGATCCGCTGCCCGATGCGGGCTGCAGTAGCGCTTGCCGGGGAAAGATGGGCCGAGCAAGCGAGGGTTAGGGTCTGACCAACGTCCTCTGTTTATGGTTGTCTTGCCAAAACACCAAGTTGCCATCGTCACCAAACATCACCACTTTGCGCAGAAGGGCGGCCCGACTCATGTTTACTGAACAGTATAGCTGCTCATATCAGTTGGAAACACAGCTTCTACAATGCTCAGATACAGACGCCCCCGATGGGGCCATCAGTTTGGCTCTTCGCTGAACAAGGCTGGTGTTAGCTGAAGGTCAAGGTTCTCCCCGTGGTTTGTGGTATCGTTGTCGTGGGGATATCAACGGTCACTACCGCAAATTGATGGTCACCTCATGTAGACTTCCTAAGTCGCTTGATGGTCCAAAAGCCCGCCCAAGTTGGCTCAAACTTCTCACCCTTTCTTCCTCTGCTCCTCCAAGTCAACAGCTGGACCTCAACCCAATTCGCTGACATACACTTCTGACCCTCCTGCATCAATAATCGCACAAGCGCAGACTGTACTAGCAGCAACAGCAACCCATCTTGCATCAGGTAAGCCAAACTTGTCACCACTTCATCCTCTATCAAGGCACCTTCTCAGCATTGCCCACCTACTTACTGACAGATTAAGGTATCCTTCGTAGAAACAGAACGACAGCACAATATCATCATGTCACACCTACATTTCCGCGAGGCCATGGTCTTGCCTACTCGTATCGCCCAGTACCTTAAGAGACGCCAGTCCCGCACAAGTGGCAAAGTGTTCAAGAAGAAGCACCAAGCCGCGGCCTCCCAGATGACCTCATCTACCAACCCCAATCCTCGAAAGCGTTCCAGTGAAGAAATCACCGATGCCACTCGCGAAGTCTCTGTTGATCGCTTCATCGATGCCGATGCGGCGCCTCAGAAACGCCCTAGATGGCCAGCTGTTGAAGAACGCGATGAATTCCGTCCTTCTCGTCCTCGAAAGCGTTCAAGTGACGAGTTTGACGAGGCTTCCTCCGATGCATCCAGTGATCGCTTTGTTGATGCAGATGCTCCTCCCCCTCAAAAGCGTCCCAGATGGCCAGCTACCGAGGATAGTGGCGACTGCGAGTTCAGTCCATTCAAAGAAAAGAAATCAAGATCAGGGGCACTTGCAGAAGAAATTGCCGATGCCACTGTGCATAAAGACAGGGATCCATTTGACCATGAAGAATTAGCCTCCCGTGTCCAGCGCTACAGATCACTCGCTGAGGAGCTTGCCGATGCTACCGCCCATGAAGACGGTGAAGCCTTCGATGATGAAGCTGATGAAGCTCCCTCTACCCCTCGCTTCAAGTCGCTCGCTGAAGAGCTTGCCGATGCACTTGCTAGCGAGAGTGGTGACGAATTGGACGAAGACGAAGAAACCAAGTCTCCCAAGCGCCGCTCACTTGCTGATGAGCTCGCTGACGCTACTGCCGATGAAGACGGCAACCCTTTTGAGGATGAGGAACTCGTAGGCATGATCATTGCTAAGGCTGGCGGGCTCTCATATGTCGAGGTACGTTGTCTCTTGCAAAGCTCATGACATATGCTTCGTACTAACGATATTCCTCAGGCTACCATTGATCTTGGTCATCTTTCATTCGACCATAGCACCCCCACTTCTTTCAGGCCCCTTCGACCGCTTGCTGAAGAACTTACCGAGGTCACTGCTAACGAGGATATCGAGCCCTTTGATGACCTAGACGAGCTGTCGTCTGGACTTCCTGAGCTTACTGACGACGATGACAGCAACTCCATTTTTGATGGAGGGTCTGTCGGAGGCCACCAGAATGCACCAACTGAGGATGAAAGTCTGTCACTCAATCACAAAGCCCTTGTTCCTCAACTTCAAGGAAGATCTCTCGCAGATGAGCTCTTTGACGCAACTTCTGAAGAAGAGGGCAACCCATTTGAAGAAGCAGATGCCGATCTCCACTTGCGCTTCCACTTACTAGAGGACCAGATTGCCGACGCCATGTCCCGCAATTTTGGCCAAGGACTCGACGATGTTGACTCCGCCCCCCGAATGTGCCTAGACTCACCAGCCAAGAAACTGCTAGACTCGATCGCTAGCGAGGATGAAGACATTTCCGACATTGAGTACGATGCCTCATTTATCACTGCTCTTGAGACACTCTCCGAGAACGACCTTCATATTGAAGATGAAGATGCTCCTATCCAGGGGCGCCGCCGCTCACTGGCTGATGAGATTGCTGATGCAACTTTGAGCGAGGGAGGTGATCCATTCGACGTCGCAGAGGATTCACCCGCAGACAATACGACTTCCGAGCCATCAGCTGAGGTGCGCAAACGTCCGTTCTGGCTATGGGTAAGTACTTGGGTCCATTCCCAAATTTTCTGACAATAGTCTGCTTTTAACTCTCAGCTAACTGAAATAACACAGAGAAAATATCCTTCCACGTCCATGTTGCTCGGCGGCTGCCCGATGCAGTAATACATTGCTTCTCGCTTCTGAGTGGGTTACTCTGTTCCAATCACTGACCAAGTAATGTACAAGTAAAAGTTTCCTTCCTGTGGTTGCTTCTTCGATATTCATAACAACCGAGGTTAAGATCATCTTATCCAAACTCATTTTCGACATTGCTAGCACATCCCAGCTATCATTCCGCGGTTCGAAGCGTTCAGCCTGTTTTGGTGTGTGTGTGAGATCGAACACACAACAATGACCGTAGAGGTACGCGATCCTTTCGCAAGATCCATCACTCTGCATCCGATATTAGACGTACTTGGTAGAGTCGCCAAGTGTAGAGACGCCAATCATTTCAGAGAGCGAGGAATGTCAACATCTTGGCTGCCGAAGGAGAACTACTGACGAGATTCCCCCCCTCCCCCCCCCAAAAAAAAATAAAAAAAAAAAAAAATGAAAAATAAATTAAAAAAAAATTGAAAAAGAAAATTAAAAAAAAGACGAAGAACAAAAGCAGAAGAAGACCGCTTTTCAGGACATTCTGTCGCACACCATCACGCAGCCACTACCGAGTTTTCAAAATCTTCCAAGACCATGTGCCAGAAAGATGCGACGAGCAACAATATCCTTACACATCACCCCTGGTTTGTTCGTTAGCTTGGTACCTACTTACAGGGGTTTTGAACAGGGGGAACGACAAAGAGTAAATGCCTTATAATTATACCGATTATAGAAGGTAATGAGGTGAAAATTGTAAATGATTGGTGATTCTAGTGGTTTTTGGTTAGGATAAGAGGTTTGTGTGCGTGTGTGTGAATCCCTTCCGTCAACTCGTTCTAACATTAAAATCTAGTGATTTCGGCCAATCGAATCGCACAAATACACTTTTCTGACCGTATCACCCCCCTGTGGATAGATGTGGGGCGTGTCCCGCGCTAACAAACAAACCAGCATTGATGTGTACATGTCGGTGTCACCATGGGAGTATATCTTCTGCCACTTTCCACGTCGGACGGCAGGAAGATGGGATGAGACAACAACAAGAAGCGGGAAAGAAGACTGAGCACAGAAATCCATCCCTGTCTTTTCTCGTGGGGATTCTGCCTGCTTACTCTGTAGTGTACGTAGTCTAATTGTGTGAAACCATTTCCCCGGATTCCATTGACGAATCGGACATTGCCTTGAAAACGGTTTAAGCTCTACCTATCGTGTGCCACTCAGCCCGTTGGGTCATCCGACATGGCTCGAGCTGTTTGGGTGCCAAGGTTCGTATAACTGGACGAGAGCAAGCCAAGTCTAGACTTCCAAGCCTTCATTACCCCATATTCTTCGGGAATTTGTACAGAAACGGTAAAGGATGCCACACAAGACCAAGCCGCATTCCTACACTATTTGCCGCTTCAACGTGCTCTCTCTCTCTCTCTCTCCCTTGTCCGTCCGTCTGTCCCTTGTCAGACTGCTTGGGCGGGGCCTATCAAAATCCGGGGAAGTGGGTTTACACTAGAGGTGGTCAAGATCCATCCCGATTGTAGGTAGTGTAGTGTACATACA